TATAATTAATTATTGATAATTAAGGCTTATAAGGGAGTAGGTTTTGCCTGTGATGTAATGACGGCCGGGCTCGTGTTTACAGGCGAGTAGGTGAACGTTTAGCATCGAATTTAACAAGTCCGACAGTGGTAGCCAGTGGTGTTATGGTGTGAGGAGGGATCTGGGGCGATCTCAAAAAGAGACTTGTGATTATTCATGAAAACCTGAATACTCGAAGATACGGGGATGAAGTTTTGCGACAAGTTGTGCTGCCACTTATCCAGCAACATCCACGTGACATTGTCGACCAACACAATGATGCAAGGCCTCATACATCAAGACTGACAAATACGTACGGGACAAATCGGAAGACTACCAGCGCCACCTGTCACCGATCAACAACCGGAACAATGTCTCCTCCAGGGATGGCAACGGATCACGCCTAACGTCATTCGTCGTCTTACGTCATCAATGCGTGGACGTGTTTTGATGACATTTTGCTCTTATTGATTTGTGTAAAAGTTCAGACTATGATACCGCATGTCTTTCAGTGTCAGTCAAACGGTACTTTCGACTTTGTATGAAATGAAATTGTCTACATTTGCTGTATAATTGAATACTCTATTGAAATTAAACATATGTTCATATATATATGCTTTTGTTTTCATTTATAGTTTGGTCAACCACATTGTATACTTTCTTTTGAGTACTAGTTTATCGTTAAACGGCAAACAATGTGTTTGATGATCAATGAAATGCCGGAAGCGTAACGTTTGTACAGATTTCCATGCATGATTTTTGCTATAACGAACAGAATTTCCGGTTAAAAAGAATTATGCTTAAAGAAACAGTTCAGCAAGGCTGTGGGCAAAACTGTGTTTATTGTGATGCCTACTTATAAACTTGCATATCATTCAGAGACGTATATGAGATTTATGATAACAATTTTACACATACAGAAATCATTTTCCAATAATATGACTGAACATTCATTGGAATGCTAGTCTTACATTTGCCGCAGTTCATTATGAAAGAGTCTAGGGGTCACAATTAAAAACTTCACAAATCAGAGTTCATTCAAAACGTGCATAAAGAGTCACATAATCAGACAAGAGTCAGGGGACACGTCATCAATAGCGAGTGTGACCACCCTGGGCATTCATACACGTCAACACACGTCTTCTCATTGACGGCGTCAGCCGGTGGATGTCTGTTCTATAAGCAGAAGAGAGTCTGTCCAAGTTCCTGTCGGTTCACTGGGGGTGCTACACGCTGTCTCAACTGACGCTGTCTCAACTGACGATCAAGATGATGCCAGAGACGTTCATCGTCGGTTCATGTCTGCAGAACGTGTTCACGTTAACTTTGTGCAGGTATTCTCGAACAATTCTGGCGGTTTGAAGGCTTGCGTTGTCGTGCTGCAAAAATGATTCCTCTTGGCTGTTGTCGAAAAACGGGTACCACAAAAGATCCCTGTATCGCTGGGCATTCGGATTTCCTCGGATGATACCCTGTCTTGTTTTTCTGGCCACAAATGCCACCCCATACCATGCCACCTCCTCCAGGGAAGGGATGAACTTCTTGTACGCTGTTTGGTGACAGTCGCTCTCCTCTACGTCGTACAAACTCTGCCATCGTTTCTGAACAGAAGAGCAGTTTCTTCAAGTCACGTCTCTGCCCCGACATACAATTCGTGCCCATTGCCATTTGTGTTGACAGCGTAGATGGGGCAAGGCCATTCCAGCCATACTAATCATCGAAGGACTGTTCGTCTGCTGATGGCTTGTCGGAGTGCTGTCGCCATCACAAATATGTTCCGGATGTGTATTTCCCGGATGTTACGGTCTTCTTAAATGTTGATCTTCATGATCTTGGGCGGTTTAGGGTCTGGCCTGTTTGCTAGTAGCGTTTTGTGCTGATGGTAGCCTGGCTGCAGTTGTGAAGCCCGAGATTGGCCACACCGATCGCCCTGTCTTTATGCGCTTGAGTAAGTCTCGGCATGTTCGTGGTGTTTTTTTGGTTACTGCATGCTTGGTCTGCAAACATCTTTTGATGTTCTTCACCTTTGGAAAAATGCACGATTCCTACGAACTTTTCTTAGAGATGCATTGTGATCGGGACCATGTTGCGCTTTGGCGAATATTTTTGGCATGGATTCAAACCTGCACCAGCGTTTTTGCTTTTTATACAATTACTTTAAAAGTGATAACTTTTTTTTGCCCGGTGGACTTTTTCAGACCATGTTTACCTCTGCCTCGGACTACCTGTACAATACAACCCGGAAGTATACCTACATTAGACATGTGACCATCTTAGTACCAGACACGTGGACCAAAGATCCAAGCTGGAAAGACAAAGGGGAGATAACCTTTACTGATGCAGATGTCAGAGTGGATTCACCCAATCCTCTAAAGGTAATATTTTAGCGCGATTGTTTTAAAGAGAACTGACATATTAAACTTGTCATTGTTACGACCGAAGTAATGCTAGGGTTACATTTTGTTCCCGGTGGCCACGGCAGCCCCGTTTCCCTGAAACCGAATGCGCCGTGGGGTTTTGGCCATTTCTTTCCTCCAAAGTCAAGTTTTGTTCTGACCTGCTACGTTTTCCGTTTGGTAAAAAACGGGCTGCTGAGTCCTGGGAGCTCAAAGGCGCGCTACGGTTCTGTCCACTGCGGATTTCATTACCTTTCCTCCCGGCCTGTGGCGTTCAGATGGGTTCCCTCACGTTAATCACGTTTTGATCAAGGGTTTGACACGTTTTGTGCGTTCTGTTGACGTCGGCCAGATTTGGAGCGCGTTTGTGCCTTCAGTATAAAATATAATAGCAATAACAGCCATAGTACCCTGAGAGACAAGAGCAGCATTTGGTGTTTGCTGGGGGCATACATTGTGTCCTTGAGTCAGCAAGAAGGCCAGAATCAGCTGCAGGGAGGGAATGCCAGAGAATGCATTGTGCCGTAGCTCGCCGGCCCTGTAAACCGTCACACACCTGGATGCGGCGTCGTTATAGAACAGGACGAATTGGCAACCATACAACCTACCTTGCTGTGAGAACCGGGACAAAACGGACAGCAAGGGCGAACCAACCGTGATAAAACGCCAAACAAATGTGGCGAACGTAACGAAACTTGAAGGGACCTTGAGATGCCGGGGAACACACATGCTATGCTATTGCTGGAATATTGCTAAAAGCGGCGTAAAACTAAATTCACTCACTCACTCACTCACTCAACAACACCCAAAAACAATTACGCGTGAGTGTAACGTTGTTTATATCACTGGTTGAATTCATGTGCAGACATAGTTTATTCTGGCAACCTGTCTCTCTCTGTCTCTCTGTCTCTCTCTCTCTCTCCCTTCTTTCTCTCTCTTTACAGGGCAATACTCCGTACACGTTCCAACCAGGGCAGTGTGGGGAGCCTGGACGCTATATCCTTCTGACACCCGACTATGTGCTGGACAAAGACAACGACCGTGACATTAATTATGGAGATGCAGGTAGGTAGAGTGTTACCCATGACAACCAACAGCAATTATATGATTATGTGATTATGCCGGGCTATACGCCCATCTCTCATAGACTGAGGGCATCATACTAACCCGTCATAATCCAGATACAATGCAGTGTGCGCCATTTGCTGTTTACTGCAGCACTACATGATAGTTGTGTACTCATGCTATGTATTAATGAAGGCCACCTTGCGTTTGTTTCCCAATACGAAGGTCGTGTTCTGGTGCACGAGTTCGCCCATCTAAGATTTGGCGTATTTGATGAGTACGGCATCCCCGGTAGCCGTCAGCACCCAGTCTACTATGTAGATGACACAGGAACGACCGTACGCCCCACTGCCTGCTCCACCGATATCACCGGTTACTTTATCAATAAAGTGGAAGGCTCCAGATGCGAACCTGTCGACAGTGAGGAGTTGGTGAATAAAGACTGTTCCTTTCTCCCAGACGTCAACAACAACACGGCAACGGTGTCTGTCATGTATGCCCAGTTCTTGAAGGAGGTAAACGGGTGACGTATTGTTTTTCGATTCAAATTGTCTAATACGATACTATAGTTATGTAATTGCTTCCTCTTTGAAGTTCAGCTGTAATAAACATTAAGTTTACAATGCATGATTATATATTTTGCAATACATTTTACCTTCTAGGTGGTTCACTTTTGCGAAAGTGACCCTGACAGTGGTAGAATGGACTTGATTCATAACCCCAATGCCCCAAACAGGCATAACAAAATGTGCAGCGAAAGGGGAACTTGGGACGTCATCAAAGAACATACAGACATAAAGGGAAGTAACCCTGCGGACATTAGAAACCGAGCCCCACAGTTCAATGTTGTCTATCGCCAGAGAGAGGCGGTTGGCAACACAACCATTTGTGGACGTAGAATCGTTCTTCTGTTAGATCTCTCGGGGTCGATGGAACAGGTAACCAACAAATTGACACCACCTGTAATTGTATAAGTATATATGTTCTTACAAAAGATGGGAATAATGAAGTATATATATATGTTAGGACAAAGATAAGTGTTGACTTCAAACATCCTTAGCAAGATCGCTCAAATCTGTAGCACCTAACGCATCCGATAATTCACATATGCTGCACTGATGATGTAATACTATGTGAACAACAAAATTCGCGCTAAATTGCCTAGCAGTAACTCGTGTAAGCTGGAGTTTTATCTCAGCTTGTAGAGAAGAGATTTGTTATAACCAAATGAAGGTGACGCTGGAGAAACGAACATGATCCATAACAGCCAAGGTTCATTATAAGATAACACAAAGGCAGTTCTTAATCCTTCGGTTTACCATGTTCTCAATGACAAAACCGAACTCTGATGTCACGGAAAATCAGTCATGTCCAGATCAGATATCATAATCTCGAAATATAAATGCTTACAATGGCTTCAATCAATGTCAGTAGTATATATCATCAATATATATATATATATATATATATAAACAAAACAAACATTTTAATGATAGCGTCATGACTCTGTGACTTTGATAGAATTACAGATACTTCAAACTGCGGCAAATAGCTGATCAAATCATCAGAGACATTCTACCTCTGGGCACAGAAGTGGGGATTGTGGTGTTCAGCGATTCCGCCAGAATCTGGGCCAACATGAGTTTCATCACATCATCTGCAGACAGACAGATGCTGGCCCAGGGTCTGCCGGACAAAGAAGACTATGGTGGTGGTACAGCTATAGGGTTAGGTCTTCTAAAAGCCATCGAGGTACAGATGTATTTGCTTTGTCATAAACAAAAAAACTGGCTGTATGCTCACAGCCCAAGTAGACGGATTTATTGGAGTATAAGAAAACTAATAGACAAACTTTATGGATGAACAACTTCTTTATTCAGGTGATGCGACGTTTCGATAGAAATTCTTGCATCGTTGTCAATATCGGGGAATCTGTCGAATCCGGACTCTTTATAAACCGGTTTTCTCAGTGATCCGGACTACTCTCTGAGTCCCGGCAAAGTTGTTCTTAATTTATCATTAAAGCTTGCTTTATGACTAAAATAACAGCCCCGGTAATCAACTTGCTATGAGAACAATGCTTTGTAAACTGGACGTAGCTGACTGAAATAACGGTCCGTTGAATAAACATCACTGTTACTTATGTTCTCAATGGTTTATAAACACACATTATTTAATGGGTTTAAGTTCTATAAATGACAGATCACGTGCTTGCTACTGAGTATAAATAAAATCAAAACAAAAAAAGAACTATCCAAGTTGTTGGTTGTCCTTAACAAAGGGAGGTAACTCATCAAGGCAGTGTCTACGCTAATGGACAAAAGTTGACTAATCCGGACTGCTTTATAATCTGGAAAAGTGAGTCGGTCCCAGGCCAGTCCGTAATAGACAGACTCCACTGTATATAACACTGTTTTCTATCTGCTTGACAACGATACAAGAATCTGTATCAAAACGTCGTATCAACTGAATAAAGAGGTTGTCCATCAATAAAATTTGACTCTCCATGTATGCCACTCAAAAAAAGTGTAAGAAACATATATAACTAGATGGACATCTTAATTCACTAACCCGTGAAGATCCGGGGTAGAATAGGTCTTCAGCAACCCATGTGCTTGCCACAAAAGGCGACTATGCTTCTCGTAAGAGGCGACTAACGGGATCGGGTGGTCAGTTTCCCTGACTTGGTTGACAACATGTTATCGGTTCCCAATTGCGCAGATCGATGCTCATGCTGTTGATCACTGGATTGTCTGGTCCAGACTCGATTATTTACAGACCGCCGCCATATAGTTTGGATATTGTTGAGTGCGGCGTAAAACTAAACTCACTCACTCACTCTTAATTCACTATCGTGTTTCTTTCAAAGATCAAAGGTAGTAAGCTGATCTTTTTCAAAACTGTAGTGTCTGTGACAAGAGCGTATCTAAAGTTCGCCTGATGTCAGCCTTTATCATAACATCAGTATGGTAAAAACATGGGATCTTCTGACAAGTAAAAGTATACAAGCTTTCGTTTATTTTGCATAAACGCAAAAAAATGTCTCTGTGAAACCCTGCTCAAAGCTGTATTTGTCAAATATCCAGAGTCACTGACCTTTGTTTCTAAAGCTGTACATATTTACTTTTGAGTTGCATAAAAGAATGTAAAAAAAATGTTTTTTAAAGAGTATCACTCTCAATCTCTAACGGGTTCTTAAATGGATTTTTTTTAAAAATGTGATGTCTACGAAGGGTGCCTGAAAATTATACTTTAATACCGATTGTATGTTGCTTTGTTTTTTGTAGTTTCATTATGTACTCTCCCAAAAATGAAACGCATATAGGGAATTTCAACTGTATTTTAATGTTTACTTTGAAACATCTTATAGGCTTTATGAGTCAATGAAATATAGCGAAATTGCACATTAGGAATACAGACTTATCCATCTTTGGCACCAACTCGATGGAAGTCAGTTAGAGTGTCACATGGAGACGTGTGGTGGCGCTGAAGTCAATACCTCGTGTGACCACCGTTGGCGTCCAGTACTTTACGGCAGCGCCTCGACATCGAACGAATAAATCTCAGAATCTCGTGTTGCCCAATCGCAGCCACTCTGCCTGTAGTGCCTGTGCGAGTTGCTGAAGTGTCAGGGGCTGAGGGTTACGTCGGTGCGCCCGTCTGTCCAGGGCATCCCACAGATATTCGATCAGGTTTAAGTCCGGTGATCTTGAGGGCCAGGGGAGCACATTGATGGTGTGGTTCTGGAGGAAGTCTCTAGTGGGACGTGCTGTGTGGGGCCTGGCATTGTCCTGTTGAAACAACTCCCTCATGCGATCAATGATTGGAAGGAGGTGTGGGCGTAGGAATTCGTCACAGTACCGTTGAGCTGTCAGGTTGCCCTGGATCATCACCAAATCACTTTTCCTACTTTTCCTACGGCTCCCCACATCATAACACTGCCCTGACCGAATCTGTCCACCTGAGGAACGCAAGCGTCGGCGAAACGTTCACGTCGACGTCTGTACACCCGCATTCTTCCATCGCGTCGTTCCAATAGAAATCGTGATTCATCACTGAACCAGATTCTTCGCCAATTCGGTAGGTTCCAGGCTTGAACGTTAGTGCACCATTGAACTCGATGTCGACGATGTTGTTGTCGAAGCACAGGGCCAAAATAAGGTCTTCTGGCACGTAAACAAGCCTCTCTCAACCTGTTCCTGACGGTCTGTGCAGAAAGTCTCCTCAATCCGGGTATTTGTCGAGCGTACTGGTCACCGTAGCTGTTCGATGACGCAGGTGATGTACCCGGATGTAGCGATCCTGCGCCGCAGTGGTCACTCGAGGGGGCCACTACGAGGGACATCTGCTTCCGCATTCTGCCGGCGATATCTCTCCCAGAGCCGTGAAATGGTGCTTTGGTGAACATTCATGCGTCGGGCAACTGCACGTTGAGACTGGCCAACTTCAAGCAAACCAATATGACGGTTGGCTTCACTTAGACGTGGCATTTTGCGTTCGTCAACAATATTCCAAATACAGTGAATAATCGACAGACAGCAATCAACCTTTTATACCCATCATTGAGACTATCTGATCCCCAACTTTCACGTGCATTTCATGTGAATTGTGTATTCTGTGACACTACACGCCGAAATTGAAAATCATGCTGTTAAATACGGGTTTTTTTACGGATGGTGCCTTTTGTTGTGATGTTTCAAAACATAAACACCATAGGACTTATAAACAGAGCAAAACCTTTTGTAAAATGAATCACGTTTTAATTCATTGCTACAAGAAACTGCTATTTTCATGATGCGTTTCCTTTTTTGGAGAGTATATTACGATCAGCGATTACAAAATATACGTTCAGATAGTATGTGTATGAGTAGATAACATGGATCGAGAGGACATGTTCGCTGACTTCATCACACTCCAAGTGTCTAGATCCAGACACTTCCAGTAACAGAAGGTCGTGGCATAGCTTGAATGTTTCAGAATACGGCGTCAACTTGAGACAAACAGTGATGATATGTTTTATGTATCTAGATGCTAAACGGCCGGGGGAAATCGGCGGAGAATGGACGAATATTCCTCGTCACTGACGGAGAAGAAAACGTTACTCCGAGTGTGAACGACCGCTATTCCGATATTGTGCGCTCTAAGGTTGTTGTTCACACAATGGCCTATGGTGATTCTGCTGCATAAGTCCTACAAAGATTATCGAAATCAGCAGGTAAGCAAGAAATTTAAGCTTGAAACTAAATGTGATGGTTGCAGTGACATTCTGTTTGTGTCGTGAGATAACTGCTCCAGAATCCAGACAACCGGGATGTAATGTTTTCCTTACAGGGACATTGTTGTATGTGTCAAGAGGAAAGTATTCCCCTTTGTTAGGATTCCAGACATGCTGGATATAATAGTATCGTTACAGTGACATTGTTGTATGTGTCAGAGTGTAAATGCACCTTTTCATTAGGACCCCAGATAACCTGGATGGAATAGGTACATTGACCTTGTTGTGTATGACAGGTGGCCAGTATTCGTTCTTTGGAGAGACCACCGGTTTGACAGCCTTTAAGGCAGCAGCTGACCGACTACTGAAGGACCTCAGCCTCTGCGACGAATACGATAATAATATTGAGGTAATTGAAACCATAACTTGATGAGAACAATTCCATTTCGTAAAAATTCTGCATGTGATCGGTTTAGCTTGTATTCTTAAACACGGTGTTAATTCCACAGCAGAAAGCGTTCCCGATCTCCGATGTGTGTCATAAGAGCCGGTTGATTAGATTGAAAACATTGCAGTTTGTGACCTAGTTGAGATGTGTCCACTGGCTTCGATTGTTGTTCATGCTGCCAGTCACTGGTTTGGGTGCTAATAGAAAATTCAGTTATATTCCAGAATTTCCTGATTCCTCGAAAATTCTGTTCCAGATTGATCGTCGCGCATTTGTTCTAACGTCAAAACAGAATAATTTCACCAGAATACTTAACATGGACCCCACCGTCGGCAACAACACGCTTTTCGTCTTTACTTTGTCACATGGTGCGGAAACAAAGGTGAATTGACGAGATATTTGTGAAACATAACCGTATAGTAGGGTAGGAGTAACGTCATTTAAATCACCCCATTCTATGCTAAATGGCGCCTTACACACTGTACATTGTCCTTGCATTTGTGTTGACCAGTCTAAACAAAATGCTTCATTTTCTCATAGATCAGAATTGAAGATCCTTATGGGGCTGTGTATGATTCCAATTCATCTGAATACAGCAAAGATGAGACTCTGAACATAATAAGATTCCTTTTCCCATTGACCAAGGTAAGATAAAGTAAAGATAAAAGTACAACTTCTTCAACTGTCTTAACATTTACGATGTATATTATCATTGTTACATGTAATATATAACTACATACATGTTGAAAGTAGAAATTGTAATACATATTTCATAATTATATGAACGACTAGCGGAAGAAGACATGCATTAACGCTGATCTAATGTCACATATTGCAACGGCAGATTGCCTCACAGATTACAACAGTTTCAACCCAATCAAAGGCATCCCGGTAACGCATATTTTCAATGATGCAAGATTGGAAAATGAATTTCGCCACTGAGCTTTGATTAAAGGGGATCTGATAAATGAATGTACAACTCTAGTGTACTATTTGTGTTCTATTTAGTTCTGAAATAAGTATCCAAAATTCACAATCATGATTTTACAATAATTCAAGCGATTAGATCATGACCTTTTAAATGAAGAATCGCCCCACTCTTTCGCCTCTAAACATACCTCTATGCCAAAAGTCAAAATTGCCTCTGAGGGGATACTGTGAGGTTTACACTGGCTGCACTTATATTTCAATAAGATTACACCACGTTATGTTTTAACGTTTACTCCTAGACGGGGACATGGAAGTATATGTTAAAACGCGACTCTAACGCGAACGAGAGCATAACAGCTGTGGTGACGTCGCACCCACGGGTTGGCACCCTGCCCTTTAAGGTGGAGACCTGGACCAGCTCTAAGACGTATGACTACTCAGGAGGTCGTAGTGGGGTCGTCGCTTACGCCTACGTTCACCAGGGATACGCTCCAATCGTCAGGGCTTTTGTGGAGGTGGAGGTGTCCAGACCAGGAGACATATTCAACATAACTCTCTATGATGATGGCATGCGTGAGTATTATGTGATTTAGAACCATTACCTTAATTAATATCTTCTTGTGCAGTGTGGCCAAGAGGCAAGTGTCAATTATAAGTCGCCCGATGAATAAAAGGAGATAAAGGTGATACCGATACATGAAAATTCAATATTTTTCAAAAGTAGTGTTGTTGCGCCTATGAACAACACCGATCACTCGAACAACATGTGGTATATTCGGCAACCATGATGTAAACCAGTACAAAACAGGGAATGATGAACTATAACATTCCGTACAAACAGAAAGAAACAAACGCGGATTGAACGTGATGGCGTAACCACCCTTCCTCCTGTCTTCCAGAGAAAACAAATCATATTTGGTCATTAGGAGTGGCTCTGAGGAGAGTCGGCATTACTCGGTTACAGTCTGTCATATACTCTTGAGCGAAACTGAGATTGGGTAAACTTACGTATTTGAAGACACGTGTTTGTCAAAGATGAGCTGGCCATAACGTTTCATTACGTCTGCGGCATACCATGTCCGGTACGGTTTTTCTTGACTGAGGGTATAGTTGTGAAGGGATACGCTTCAAAGACATGCAGTGATGGCAAGCTTCTGTTGCCAGGGATGTAGCTGTATCAATATCCAATAGCCTATCGACCAATGTATCGTATTCAGCGTAGTTTAAGCTACGTACGAGCATCGTGTTTGTATTTTATTTAGACCTTTATTCGAGGTGAAAATCCCCCCAACGTTTTCGAAGCGAGCGACCTCATAAAACTGGTTCCCGATAGGTATATAGCTCATACGACCGATTCTAAAATAATGGATTGTGGCTTCTAAAATTGCTTTCAGCGTCCATCGTTACATCTGTCGTGATCAGCGTTGTTCAGACTACCTACAAGCATCGTGTTTGTATTTTATTAGACTTTATTCTAGGTGAAAATACACCCTAACGTTTTTGAAGCGAGCGATCTCGTGTTAAGACTTTTGAAGCGGAAGTGGGATTTGTTGTAAGACTGGATCCAGACATCCTCTGCGCTAGACATCCTTTGCACTACTATAGACAGATCCCGGTTTAAGAGGATGATGCAATTCTATGGATAGACCCGTTAAATTTGCATTGTGTCTGTCAGCCGTCCCGCCAGTGGGGTGGTAGAGAGTTTGAGTTTGGAGTTTGAGACGGGGTAGCAGCCGAGACTTTTGCAAGTGAGTGGAGGTATATAGGTCACGCCAGCATTCCTCCATGAGCGCTGGACTGGTCTAGATAATGAGATGTGTTATGCCAGCGTTCCTACATGAGCGCTGGGCTGGCCTAGATTGCTCACTCAGGCTACGAACACATAAGCCTGCATGGGAGCTTGTATGTCAACAACAGGCAGTGAGCAAAAAACAGCTACCGGGGACCTGATAACCAAGTTTTTTGCTCGAAAATTATTAATCTTTTGATTTCTAGAGGAATTGTGGCCGCCGGGGACGTTTTGCTACTTTTTTAACCTTTCTATCTTTCTATGTTAATATCTACAAATAAGTTTAACGTTAATCTTTTATGAAATCTTTGTTCTTGGTAAGGAAGGTTTGAATGATCTGTTGTCAGCCCTGTTTTAAGAACTTTTTTTTCTCGACTTCGCTGATGTCAGCGGTTTTTCTAGACTTGGTTCGAATCTCCTGTTTCATTCGGGGATATTTAGTGATTTCAGACATCACTAAACGAAACTCTTCCTCTGAGATTTTGCTGTCAGAGATCGCTGTCGAGATATGATTATCGATCGTGTTTAGCTTTGCCTCGGCTAGAATTCTAATTTCATCGTGTTTCAGCGCTTTACCTTGAAGCCGACTTGAAATTAATTTAAGGGTTACTCCTACCAGTTCCGATACCCAATGGGGGCGGCTATAATGGTTGATAATAAGCTGACGTCAGCCGTGCCATGTCCCATGCTGGTCACCATTAGGGTAGTGTCTACACCGTCCAGAGCATTTGTTGCCCTATGGTATTTTTTTGGTAATCCAATGCCCACGTCACGTTCTTGTTCCAGTTGAGGTCTGATCTCACTGATTTGTCGTAAACGAAAACCATCCACGGTTTCGAGCGTTTGAGCCACTTCGTCCATGGCTGGATACAATGCCATCTCGAGTATAATATATGTTAGGAAATAAGCTTTAATTGTTCCTTTGTCAATCATTGATGAATATACTTTAAACTGATGAAGTATATATGCTCGGATAAATTAATGGCATGGAATAATATGCGTTTAGACTGAATAACCTTGATCCCCTCGAGGCTTGTGATGGGAGCCGTTCCTGGTTGTATATAAATACGACAACGTTGATGTTGATGGCGATCATACCAGCGTATCCTTAACCCAACCAGAATTGTCGAATCTTTTGTGGGGGCATCTCCAAGAAAAACTTCAATAATAAGGGTAGAACCTTGTATCACAGTGACCGACGAGTGTGGGCCTTCATTATATTTTTTTAAATACATCCATTTATCTTCGGTTTCCGGACAGGTGACTATCATATTACCCGTTTGATTTGGTAATGTTGATACGTACATTCCCTTTTCTTCAACCGGAATAAAACTGTAGTCCAGTAGAACCCCCTTGTTTTCTAGTTTGATGACATTACGATCATCATCCATGACTAGATAGGGGTAGATAAGGACAAGATTGATGATCCAGTGCAATTGAGATTCGATGATCACTTCTTGTCATTGGTACACATTGTTTTGTAAGTGCAATACGTATATGGCACTTTCCGTACCGGTGTAACAGGCCAGAGTATACCCCTGTCCCAGACTATACCCGGGGTTAAACTGGGCTAGGGCTGACCGAATCCTCACATGTCCCCAAGATCGGATAACGCATGCAATGGAGGCCTGTGAACACAGGTTTGAAACGTCACCCATGGTTATACTCGATTATGGAAGAGCCTTAAATTGGTTTTCCGACGATTTCTCATGTGTAAATTTTAAGATGATGAGATGGATATTTGGAGGTAAAAACAAATTTGTGAGCGCGATTTTTTTCTCCAAATTAATCGTCAACCCGTCAAGACTAGCATAAGCATTGACATCATTCTGTCTATAAATCGCGCAAACATGATTTGATGTTTTTAGGCCAACGAAGTTTGACTCCAGGTAATAGGTCAACATCTTGATCGGGGGGAGGCCTCCTCGAGAAATACTTTGATATAAAGCGTCGAATTGGATGGAATTTCTTGTAAGACATTTGACCCATCTTTGAATTCAAGTACCAACTGTTAACTCGGATATTTTGGCTATCCAGTCGTCTCGCTAGCAAATGACCAGCTTTTCTAGAGATGAGGTTGACGAGCACACTTCTTCTTTGCGAGGGGACATAAGCCGCGATGAGAATCCCCTTATTAAGGGCTTGCATTAAATGACGATCCTTCGACTCCACAAACACGTAAGGTGACACGAGGGCGATATCGATTAGCCAGTCGATTTGGGAGGAGATCAACGTCCATTGGTTATCATTGATAAGGATCAACTGGTACAACGTCTTTCTTAAGAGACCTCGGGTTTCGACACTGTCTAAATTGCCTAGATTGCCATCGAATGCTGGTACCATCACCAATTTGTTATTGTCATTGAGGACGAGATTGTACTGCGTCTTTCTTTAAGAGACCTCTGGTTATGACATCGTCTAAATCTCCTATGTTACCACCACCACTCACATCTGTTCGCCCGTAAATGTTATTTCTTAATTTTAAAGCGTATGCCTTGCCTTATAAACCTCCAGTGACGTCACTCTATTGTTCTAGCGAGGCAGTATTTCTTGTCATATCCCAATGCCCCGTCGATTAGGGCATTACCCCAATATCGTCCCTCTGCCCGGGGATTTTCTTAGGAATAGCACTTGACTTTGATTTTTACTTGTGTTGAAGATTGTTACGACTTTGTCTTGCCATCACTGAATGCGATCGTAAAATATGACACTATTGAAAACTTCCAACATGTAGTGCCGACACCCGGTTTCGAACCCGCCACCCTTGGCTCACTAGCTTGGCAGTTTTATCCACTAGGCTACGAAGGATCGCTGTGAAGAAAAAGATTGTTTGTCTGCATGAACTGTGTGTCCTCCCAAGACGGGTAGTGCGGGTAGCGCATGTGCAGGACATGGGTAGCGCGTACAGAGCACGTGCATTGCGTGCAAGGCAAAGCGTTGGCTGCCAGCCTCATTCCAGTTGCTTTCAAAAGTAAACTAAATATTGAAATTATATCTACAGTATATCTTCGGTCGGTTTATAAGTTGAATAAAGCTTACCCTTGGGCATTACGAAGAAGTGAGGATGTTTTCCCTAGAGGAATTCCGTCGGGAAAACATCCTTACTTCTTCGTAATTCCCAAGGTTCATGCTTTATCCCATACCTAGACACTGAGTTCATCGAATCTTCGTGTGTCCCAGAGATCGGAGATCGCAATGGTAGGGCATTTTCTCAGGCGCATGGTTGTTCCAGGACCAGAAGCTTGAGTAATTGTTTTACATGCAGCGTGACACTGAGATATTCCATATACACCAGTTTATGTTTTATACCTAAGATGGATAGTTTCAATTCCATGATCATGCCCTGTGCTATTTTTTTTTGTACTGCAGGGCAGAAAATGATTCGGTTCGACAGTACTTACACTTTTCTGTTTTCACCGTCATGGCTCTTAGCAACGGGGAAGGGCGAATTGAGATGAACGAACAGTTCGTCATAGACAACGAAGCTCGGTAATTTCGAACCCGCGATGGTGTCTCGATGACAACTCGAGAGTTCTTGCCAAGAGCCAACCGAGTCGAATGGGTTTTTCATTGAGTTTGAGATGGGCTCCAATGGGTTTGAAAATTTCATCGTATATAAACGCTGTAATAACCGTCGGACAAATGGTGGCGTTTGCTATCGATGAATAGTCTGTTGTTCCCTTTATGTTGACTGATATTCGACCAACGCGGGGTATTACACAAGATCACAGAGAACGACTTCAAGTCATCCCGATGTGTCATAGATCACGTGTAGCAGCTTAAA